AAAATCCAAAATACTTTCAAAAAGTCTGAAATCCCTGATTTCTTGTTCAAGTCAACAGCAGAGGATAGCCTACAGTTTTTTAATCTCTCAAGTTCATGAAGAATGGAATCATTCAAAGTTGTCACACAATGTACTAGTATATTGGGACAAATGTGGAAGTTTTATCATATTTACATCACAGCTCAGTAACAGCGAGCCACTTTTCTAATCTCATGAACATAGGATATCATTGGTAGCATATGTAGGCTTGCTTTCATCATCTTGTTCTTGGAAAAAGAGATCCAGCTCACCAAATACATGAGAACTATACTGTGTCAACACCATCATGTATTTCGTAAAATACTATAAATATTAGCTTAGGGTAGGATAAGTAATGACTTTGACCCCTATTACTAGTAGTTGATATAGCTGTGGCATAAGGGGCCTGCAGGGTTTGTAGGAAAAAGTTCCAGACATGTGGATGTACATATTCATAGGACATCTTCGGAAGTTCAGTGTCTGACATTGGTTGTTTGCCAATAAAATACAGACAATCTGGTTTTGAGTACAGCCATATGAAACCACGTTCAACCTCCTATGGGGTGTTTTGCCCCTAAGGAACAAGTTCCAAGAGTCCTGGTCGACTAAACATTGTCTAAATCCAAATTAAGGCTTTAGTTATCTTGGCATGGGGTGTATAAACACTACACCACAAAAGTACAAACAGATGTGACTACTAAATGACCGCTGTAAGACCTTTTTACAGTAAATATTTTTAACAACTTTTATTAAGGTCCCTGATGATTTTTTTTTACTTTATTTACTCCTTGATATTTGAATTTTTCATTTCAGTTCTACCTCAGATGTTTTGAATGCTGTTGGACTATAGGGCAAGGATATTCAGAAATGGGCACAAATACTTGAAGTGCTGTGAAAATTTCTAGAATGCAAACTGCGAATATCTAATCTAAAGAATTCTCAATTAGATGGTACTCTGTCTCATTCTTATGGCATTCTTACAGCATTTGAAACATTCTGATCTGACATTCAAAGGAGAACAGAAATGGACCAGAATATTTGGAATACACTCTAAATTTTCAGAATACGCTTCAAATATTCAGGTCAGGAACATATGGTGTTATACCAAAATTATATAGAAATATATATATATCATCATCATCATCATCATTCATCCTCCGTAGAGGTGGAGCATACAAAGTTAGTTCGCCACAACTGTCTGTATATATATGTCCAATTTAATTAGGCATTATTTATTTGAACATTTACTGTTTGCTTTAAATTACTCAAGTACATGTATACGGGGCTCAAAATCTACTAACTTGGGGGAATTATTTAGGGAAAATTTAGGTGCACAGGAAAAATATTGGGTGCACACAAGTATAGAAAATATTAGAATACTAGCATCAACAAAACGTTATCACAAACCTTACGGTTACAGCCTCTTTGAAATTCTATTGCATCTTTCATAGCCCACAAAATCTAATTAAGTAACTCATATCAGCTCTTTTGCATCAACAATAGCACCATGTTGAATTTTAGCAGGTTCATATTCTGATGTTTTTTTTTCAGGCGCATGTAAGTACAGACACTGTATTGAAGTGGATTGTCAATAAGGACATTACTTCACAGCTGTTACAGTGGATGGACAAAAATAAGACCTCGTTAAAAATCACTTGTGACACCTGTTAGGATCCCTTTTCACACTACAGTGATCACTGAATGTTGAGTGACCAAAATTGGATGTGTGCGATCCTTGGTGTTATAACTGCATGTAATAAAAGTGTGGTTTTTGAGGCAACAAGACATACAAAATGTACAAAAATGTGTTCTTTATCTATGAAATCCGTTACATGACCAAATTATTTTTCGCTCAAAATCAAATTGGTATCCCTGGTTGCTTAACACAGCCTCAAGTGGAAAGGGGGTGTAAGGGAAAAGCAGTGGAGTGGATGGAGAAAAATAATGCCTTGTTATAAATTGCTAGTGACACCTGTAAGGGAAAAAGCATCTGAGTATTACTGACTCTTTGAAAGCTTTGTGTGCACGAAAGGATTTTGAGATTATTTGGTATCTACAAATTCTTACTAATACTATAGGTGATTCATTAATATGACGGTTTTCATCAAAGAAAAAATATTTTATATAAAGCATTTCTCTCTTTATAAGAACACAGTAAAATCATACAAAATATTCAACTGTCATCTCTATAGTATGTATGTTTCCAGGGACGACATTGGACAGATCCTTGTGATCATCAAGCCCTACCGGTAGTCAGTGGATGACCTGCAAGGGTAGAGCCATCTCTTCCCCCAGCCTATCAGCCATTACTGCTTTCCAACTTGACATTAAGGTCAATCTGTGGTAACTAAATTCCCCTGACACTCCACTGCATTTAAACACATTTGTACCTACATTTGTATGAACACAAGCAAACACACAGACAAACACACCCAATACCTCAGTATCCGGAGGTAACAAGAAAAAAAAGATGGCCTAGGGGACAAGCAACCTCTTGGTGGATGGGTTTAAAATAAAATATGATATCCCAGGAAAGAGGTTCCATCCATACTTAATCTTATTACATGACAGTACACCTACAAAACTGGGTGGTCTGACTTTAAAGGCTAGGGGGGGCAGGGTCAAACATGATGGCAACATGGGTACTAAATACTTGTTTAGTATCTTATTACAATGTCACCAAAGTGTCCAAAGTAATCCCTTCCCACCAAGGGTCACCTGGTAGGCCACATTAGGCTACACCAATACAATTCCTCGGTTCTTGAACCATTGTATGTAAAATCTCAGCAACAGGATACATGTGTATTATGAAAACAGCAGGCAGGCAGAAAACTGTCACCTGACTAATGACTATGTTTTCTGCTGAACTGTGTGTACCAACTACCAAGGTACAGACTTTTCTCTTAGACTTAGAGTCAGTTTCTATGTTGATATTGTTAAAGCCAATCAAGAATTATTTTGTAAAATTCAAGAACCAATAAATTAAATTACTGTGGCCTAACAACGGTCAATATGTGCAGGAAATCTCTTTCTTTTAATAATACAAATCTGTGACATGCACTTCAATATATGATTTGATCACTCATGCATGTTGATGCCAGATATCGTAATTCCAGGGTCAACCTTCTATAAAAATTCCCCTTTTGATGCCTTCAAAACTAAATAAAAATACAATGTATATCTCGCCTGCGTGGAGTGGCCACAATGACCTCAAACATGCAAACATATTGAGAATGATTGTCAACAAGCAGTCACACATGAATGGGCGTAGCCAGGAAACACGGTTATTGTCACCTGGCGATTTCCTTACATCTGCTGGCCTGATTGTTATGGAGGGCTGCAATGTAAACAATAGAAACTGTAACCAGAAAAAACATATACACTTCAATGGGAGGTGATTCCTTCAACATTCACAATCCACACTGTGGCTAGACGGTTCTGGGCCGGGGTAATTAATTATACTAATGAGGTTTGTGACAGGCCCAATGTTAACGATAACATGAATGGACAAGAGGATCTGTTTTCCTTTTGTCACTTTTGTGTACGCCTGACTGATCACCAAAACAAGAGTCAGTCTTCCTGTGGGAGAATATCTTGTGTTTATGTGGCAGTATGGCATCCCTAAACCATCTCTTAACAATATATAACACCCGCGGCAAGGGGAAAAAAATCACCCGCACATTTTAATGCAGGGCACATGACCATAGACATGGATGCCGAGCCAATTTACCTGTATTTTTAACCGAGATCGCCATCTAATTGCGGTACATTTAGGCGTGTTCCAACAATAGATGATTATACTTTGCATCTCCTTCCTGTGTCGGCCATCAAGAGATAATTAAACCCAAACAGCAGCTTTCCCCCGCAGCAGCTGGCAATCTTACCTAGTGTAAGCAGTTGCACCTCGCGTTGTTTTTCTTCCTCTCTTCGTTAAGCTCTGCATCTATAGTCCTGCTGCGTAGAAAGGCTTCCTTTAGATCCTTGGTTTTCTTAGGCTCCATGTTCCATTCCAATCAGGGGGGACAGTCTCTAGCGCTGCAAAGATACAACCAGATCGGTTCAGATTGAAGCCGAATGTACGGGCTATCCTTGGCAGGTAGGATCCTGCAGCCAGCCGGCGGGCACACCCGTTCCTGTTCCTCCTTCGGGGTCGCGCTCCCTCCGTGCAATATTCCTATGGGTGGAAAATTGTGATGGCTGTGAAATATGCGAGTAGGGGAACGAACGATCCAATATATAAAGAAATCGGGGCTCAAATTGGGCAGAAATCAAAGCGATGGAGCCATGGCATGAAAACAAGCACGCCGGTTCATGGATAACAGTGGTCGGGACTGCGTGACACTCTCTTCCACTGAATATTAATGCCATAATGAGCGAGGAAAGAGCGCCGGAGAGCGTTTATAGCGGCCTGCTCAACATCTGACGTGACGTAACGTGAGGCCGTGCGTTCAGTCGCGGCCTTGCAGTGTTTTGGTGCGGCTTTAGGTCCGCTATACCTGCGCCCCACAGCGTACCTCTCTATCTACGGCCTGCTCGCAACAATGGAAACAAATAATGGCTCGAATTTCGCCACACGACAAGACAAATATTGGGTGGGCACACAGCCGAACCTGAAAGTGCCAAAGACGTTCCACTGTAGCTCAGGACCGAACGCGAAGCTCAGGGTTCATCAATCAAAACCTGTGTAAACTACATGGAAAAGATCAACCATTTTGTTCCCCACAGAAAAATGAGATCGATGCCTTTTACTCCAAAATTGCACGCTATTAATTTGGGATAAATACTGGTAAATACTCCGAATGGTGAAAGTGAAACCAATCGTTACAAAAGCGGCAGATAAACGGAAAAAATACCTTTTTTCCTAGGAAGAAAAGTTAAATCCACACCAAAATGCCGCCATTTTGTCACCCAGCATGCCCTTAAAAATCTGCCAATCAGAGACCATTTCACTAAATCGCGTACCTTCGTACAAATGGAACATGACGTTTGATTGGCTGCTCTAGAGGTCATTCCAGAGTCAAGATGGCGGCGTTCATATATTTTGGAACAGTCCGAAGGCATTTTCCCCCAAATCTAGACGCTTTAACAATTGTATAGATCAACAATTTGTGTTTTAAGGCATACGTGATGTTTATTTGTAGCATCAGGGTAAATACGGAAACCTATCAAGTCGTATTTCCTTGAGTGCTGACTACTTTCCTCGTTCGGATAACTTGGAGACTGTAAAGATCTCTATAGGCAGTTTGTTTTGAAATCATTGAAATCTCTATGTAACTTAGAATAAACGCGAATGTATAGCCAACGATTTGCATTTCTTCGCGAACTCTGCACCAAGAGTTCTGGAGAAGATTCAAGGATAAACACCGCTTGGAGAATCAGTAAGTACCATTGAAACTTGCTGCTGTCAGAATGTCACTAAAACGTCGTCTGCTGCAGCTGCACTAATAATTTATATACAGGACAGATAAAAATAATACTACATGTAGTTGTTATGCAGGTGTGAAGAATGATAATATACATGTACCACTATTTCATATCGGTCAGTATCACTACTATATGTGTATACTATATGTATGTAATTTCAATATTCCCATAAAAATTGCAGTGTCCTAAGTGCCAGTGAAAGTTGGCGGGTGTTTTAGGAACAATAGAGCGACGTTTAATGCTTGTCACCATGTAACTTTCATAACCTTGTCATTATTTGCCAGTTTGAAGTCATATGTCTCTCACCAAACACGTGTCTACATGCAACAGATTTAGAATTGCCATTTGCATGTACAGTATTGTCATAATTATATTATGTAATTTAATAGCTTCTGGATCTCAGGTCACAAATTGAAAATGAACATTTGATTAAAAATTACAGTGCAGAAATTGTGTTGACTTTTTTTTCTACTTTTAGCAAAGATTGCAGCTTGGACATCGCTAGTTCTTGGGTATGTATATCTCTTGTAAATTATTGTATGATTAATGGATGTTGAAAACAGATAGAGAAAAACAGATTGATTGATTGATTGACTGATTGATTGATTGATTGATTGATCCTCAAAATCCTCTTGAAGCTCATGACTAATGATGCTTGGGAGCAGATTGAATTGCAACAGAAAAGGCATTTCATTTAGAAATCGCCATTAGCACTTAACACGCAAAGCAATTAAATAACCCATATGGAACTTGTTATTTGCCACAAGGGCCAAAGTTATGAATCTGATTGGCCACAAAATATTTTTTTAAAATATGGTATTGGTAAGCCAATATTGAACAGAAATTGTCAGCAGAAATTAAGGTGATTAAAAGACATTTACACTTGGTCAAAGCACTGTCTACAATTGTGAGCCTGCAATTACTACATTGTCCTTTAGTATTTCTAACACCAAATTTAGAATTGGGATTGATACGTTGTTACATATAGGGTTTGATTAGCACTTGTAAACCGGATATTACTAAGTAATGCAAGGTGTATGTAGATAATGATTAATCTATAAGTCATGCTCAAGCAAATGTTACAGTTTTTATACTTAATCTTTCTTTACTTTGCTATCAGCGGGGCATTTATTTCAAGCCAAGTCTACAGTTTGAGAGATGCTTTTAGACACCGGACCAATGCTGTAAACAATGAGAACAGACCAAGTTCCTCCTACATCTACCCAACTACCTCACTGCCAACTGAAGCACAAGAACACACAAAAGGTTAATATTTTTTTTTCTTCTATCATCCTTGAAGTCAAAATCGAAGTGGTTGAATCTTGGGAAAGACCTATCTGAAGCAAATATCTTTTACTAGTATTAATTGCTGTGAATGTACATGTATTGCTGATTCTGTGCATATTCTACTGTCATTTCCTGTCAGCCATCAAGGACACTATTTTGACCTCCAATTTGAGTTCTAACCTCACATCCTCCCAGCCTGCAGTGAGAACATTTTGACCTCCAGTTCCACCTTGACAGTATATGGTTATGCTATTTCCCCCATCTCTTTCCTGTTACTCTACTGCATTCGAATATTCAAATAACTACAAGCAGACAAACACACGCACACTAAAAAAAAAAAACTCGGAATAAATTGAGGTAATGGCATGTTTCCCACCACAACCCTTATCTCCACCTGGGTACAGTCTGTGGGAACATCAGTCATTGAAGAGGCTTAGAATTTCAGATGTTCTGGCCATGATCCAACTAACCAGGAGTGCACTGCACTTGACAGTATGATAATCAGCAAGGCAAACTTATAAAGGGATACGACCTTGACTCCAGTGGCTTAACCTCACTCTCCTGTACGTTTGTTCTGTCACTACTGGAAGATGTTGTCTGTTTAGCATCTGGTACCAAATCTGTGTCAATAGAGAAGGTTCAAAAATTCAATCTTTTTTTTTTAATCCAGCCTTTTGCTTGCTGCGTAACTCAGCCATGAGGCACCCGTCCTGTTACTCGTACTATGGTACCAGAAGCGTACTTGACGTATGTGTGCAATCCCTGGGATGTTATTGAAAATTAGATTCATCCCAGAAATGTGGACCAAATTCGTGACAAGGCCTTAGATCATTGAGGATATCAATGATTGAACCTCCTGGCTTACATCAAATACAATCAGTCTTGAACAATTGGGTGTGTTGAAATCATTAGGCTTTAACAGATGGCGACTCACTGACAGTTCTTGTCCAATGATTATTCATAATGGCTCAGAAGAGTCTTTTCATGGTGTTGTACATGTATATGTAGAAAGTTGAACTTGCAAGTGTCTTGTGATGCTGGCCATAATTGGACCCCGTCACAATAGAAATTACAGCAATTTACACTCTCTTAGTACAGGAAATGTCACATCTGGTATATGATGATTCTCTCTCAGGTAGCTGAAAAGACTGGAAATAACATGACAAAATCTGCCCTAAACATAGCCCCATCTTCAAGTCCCAAATTGCTGGCAATTTACGTCTGACAATTATGTCTTACTTTGAAAACTGACACTAATGCCAACATTTTAAAACTGAACTACATACAAATCGAGAGAAAATGAAGTTTTCCAGCAATGGTAGTTAGGGGCTTTCGGCAGACAGTACTCTTCCCATCTGTTCAAACCTGCTGTTTATTTCATTATGTACATGTCAGACAAACAGGAGTGACACTTGGGGCTGGTTGGGAAAGACGGGTGACAAGATAATTAAAACATTGGAGGCCAGAAATAGCGCAGATGGGTAAATATAGAATACAACACGGGGTATTCCGTATCGCCCGAGGTACCAGCCCGACCGCGCGTCGGATCGCCCGACGGCCGAAGGCCGGAGGGAGATCTGATCCGCGGGAGGGCTGGGACCGAGGGTGATGCGAAATACACCGTGTTGTATTTTATTTATGTCATACCCACCCAAGAAAACACGCCTTTTAATGCAAAATAGGCGAACATTTGGTGTCCCTAAACCCAAACAATGCAACAACATCAATTCCAATGTCCGAATTTTGTGTTCGAATTTTCGAAAGCGGTGCAAGCGGTTAGGGCGAAACACGTTCAAATCGTTCTGTGGGACATTTGGAAGGCCCGGGCCGCACGCGTTAAGAACCTCCGGGCCGTACCGCTAGTTATCACACGGGCCGGAACACCCGTATCAAACGTAATCGCGGTCCAGGTAGGACATAAAGATAAGGATTAACTAAGTAAAAACAACAACAGGAAACTGTTTCCTGTTGGCTTGGTTGTCAGAAGCTTGTAGCTGACTCCATCAAAAATATAGGCCACAGCAAGTAAATTTTATGGATGACATCCTCCACAGACTCCAAATCTAATGTGAGTGGGCGAAAAAAAACAAGATGGGCCAAAAAAAAACAAGGTTCCTACATTTTAAAATTTTGACTCAATCATTGTACAAATGGTTTTGATTCAGTGGGAACATCACATGTACACAGCCAGCATCGATATATCATACATCACTGCATCAAAGTAAGAAACAGAACATTAAATCAGAATCTTTTCTTGTCTCCTCTCTTCATAGCTATCTGCCATCCACGGTCCGGCATGGCAACAGACATCTTTGCCCATTATCGACATGTTGACCACTGTCAGAAGACAACAAAATGGCTTTGTTTTCCAAAGTCAGGCAAAAATTAATGTGCACGCTGATGTCATCCATAACAAATTACTTGCTGTGGCCTTAGATCAGATACACATTTGGGCTTTCAGTTCCTGTATCACTCCTGTGCATACACCTCCAGTTCAAGGAAATACAACAGTATTTCTAATCTAAGTACATGTACAGTTGACAATGTACGTTTTTTATTTTAGATTTTGGCGGAAGGGATCCAATAATTTATGACATTTTCATATGTGCAAGCATGTCAATAAAATTGTTCTCACCTAGAGCTTTTGACCAGTCACTCCGGTCTAACACTCGTCCTCAGCAGACTGACCCAGTGAGACTTGTCATGTGGTCAATCTCTAAAGTGTGACGTCAACATTGCAAGATTGTCATTATGGAATGCCCAATGAGGAGTAGCAACTAATGCAGCTTGCATTTGCCACCTGATGGCTTCATTAGAAATATTAATGAAGACTAATGGCATTCATTATCTGCTCCAGGGACAAATCAAATTGAGCCTTTGACAATGAAAACACATTGATATTGTCATGTATGTCAATGTCAATTACATGTATATGAATCTTATTTAAAGGAAAGAGCTGGGAAAATGATATAAAAATGTAACAACCTCTTTAAAGTTTAAAGTGAAATGAAGGGTGACACTTTCAAGTTAACCTCCTTGCTATTTCCAAGCAATTTTAGAATTTTGTCCTTAAATGTACTTCAGTGTTTGAACACCTGGTTATACTTATAGGTCTTCAACTAAGGTATACTGTAAATCTAGTAACTTTCACGATGGTCTTATCATTGCATTTATTGTGCAGTAACTTCAAATAAATAAATATAGAATACAACACGTGGTATTCCGTATCGCCCGAGGTATCGGCCCGACCGCGGGCCGCAGGCCGGAGGGCGATCCGACTCGCGGGAGGGCCGGGACCGAGGGCGATGCGGAATACACCGTGTTGTATTTTATTTATATCATACCCACCCAAGAAAACGCGCCTTTCAATGCAATATGAGCCAAAAGTTGGTGCCCCTAAACCCTCAAATGCAACAACATCAGTTCCAACGTCCGGATTCTGTATTCAAATTTTCGAAAGGGGCACACGCGGTTAGGGCGAAACGCGTTCGAATTGTTTTATGGAAGCCATGGAAGCGTTCGATAACGGGTTCCGGACCGGGCCGTACCGTAACGCACGGCCCGGTCCGGAACCCGTTATCGAACGTTATCGCGGCCCGGGTATGATATAACACCGGATATATGTCATCCTTGTATGATTTTGTAGTATTTGTACTACAGAATTGTAATTCAACAGCAAAAGACAGTGAAAACCTCACTTTTTCCTCCTACATGTACCACCAAATAAAATAAAACCACCTCAAAAAGTAGATAAATTTACAGAATCGGACTGCTGCATATGTCATAGCCAGGCCATTATCCTCTTACTGTGAAAAGGATTAACATTAAGACCTTTTTCCTGGAAGGCTGCAGGTGTTTTCTGTGACTTAATTCCATGAATTATGATTGCATTACTGGGAAAAAAAGGATCTTGAAAGGTTAATAAAAAATTGTTTTAGTGAGTGGTTGTTGCTTTTATTATGAGCCATTTATTTCCTACCTGAAATATTCTTGATACAAATTATTCAAAAGCTTCAAAAGACACCATGCATATATATATCCTCTCTTTGATGGATGCTTTTCATCAATGGTCATTATCATTAGTGCTCCTAGTCTAATTTATGTAATTACCACCTGAGATCATTAGGGACTTCATTCTTCAGTTTTTACCATTAATTTGCACTTGCAACTTAATTAGAAAATAAGTTATAAAAACTTGAGTGTGCCGTCACCATGTCATATATGTGATAAATGTTGGAATAAAAAAAATTAGCACTTTGTTTGATAGGTTTTGTATTCAAGCATTGGTGTACATGTAGCCTTTATATTTGTGAATGGCTTCATCAGAAGGCAAATTCAGCCTCAGTTAATTCCTACAGCAAGAAGCTCATTCCTCAGTGTACTCTATAGAAGGCAGCTGAATGCTAGCCAAAATCTCGGTGACTACTAGTAAGCACTTTAGTTGAGTTAAACGTGAGGATCTGCACATGCAATGCTTAATGGTAAAAGTGTTCTTGCAAAAGGTTTTGCAAATGAGTTTATTGGCTTTTATTGAAAGGGTGTCTGGCAAATCTAGGCAGCAAACACTAACACGACTTGGGACATTTTGACAATTTAGCATTCAACTACATGATACAAAGAATTTGTCAATAAAATGCTTACCGATGAAATTGGGATGATAATTAACGTGCTACATATAGAATCAAAGCAATTCGTGTTGAATTAGAGTGTGCTAGTTACACTTAACAGTGAATTCAAAATAGCTCACAATATCTCACAGAAGTGTCTTTACTTGGAAATTCACCTAACGTTGGCAGTGGTTCAAGTGCTTGTTTGTCATTCAGTCTGAAACTTTCTTACTGACAAATTCGTTGGAGGGAATTGAACTGAAGAGTTAGATTAGTCTGCCTAAAATAGCATGGTGCATGATGTAACAGAGGTACATGTAAGTTCAAGAGCAAACAGAAATAGAATTGATATCAGATCTCCTAACTTGTACTTAATTTACTTGATGAAAAAAATAAAAACTGTCTTATTAGTCAGTATTGCTTTCTATTAATAGTATGTTGCCCCCTTCCCCTTCCACACTAGAATTCACAGTGTTGTGTAACAAAAATTAGAATGTAATATCTGACAGGTTTACTACTGAGCTACAGGGTAACATGTTCATTTTCTAGTGGAGTTTTGTTAATGGTCATGTCATTTTTTTTTGTAAATGAGTGATTAAGATTTGATTTGATTATAATATATTTGGTTAATATACTTTAGAACAAAGTGTAGAAATATTACAGTTTTTCAATACATGTTTAAACGTAAAATGAATTTGTGAGTCTGGATCCAGATCTTTCCCAAATCTAATTTCTTGAGAGCTAGATCAAGAGCAACATTGGCAAATGTCCCAAACTTCTACCAGAAACTAGGCTATCTGGTACATTCAGGTTAAACTATGCGCTATCATGCAGATTCCCAGACGTTAGCAGTAGGTCCTCCTCCTATTGAAAATGTTTGCTTCTTTCCTTACAGATTTTGCCAACTTGAAGGTGGAAGATGGCGAACTATCTGCAAAGATGCCCAGCATTCCATTCCCAAATCCTCAAGTCAGCAACAGTATTTGTAAGTACGGCACAATATTCTGGGCTCTTCTGATCCCAGAAAAGGTGTTCTATTCATGCTCTTTTATTATATAAGAAAGAGAAGATTTTACACCTAAGACCTCACTCCTGCTAGTCGGTAGTGAGACCATTTGGACCTCCAATTCACCCTGTCAGTCTGTGGTTATACCATTTCCCCCTTCACTTTGTATGTACTACAGTAACTGTATTCAACCAAAAGGTCTCCTTTTAAACTTCCTTGATTACACACTTTTTGCAGATGCTATGCTGATTTCTGTCTTACCCAAATGGCAGCAACCAAGGGGGCATACTAGTAAATAAGAAAAATGGCAATGTTACAAAACCTGTTGATCTAACTAAGTTTTTGCCTTGTCTTTAGTGACCAGCTGGTTGGACTGGGTGCCCTCCCCCCTGGCACGTCCCAGGATGCATCAGAGGCCAGATGATCCCTGGAGATTCCTGAAGGCCGCCCAGTCCGAACACCGAGCCACCAGGCTGGAGGGGGTGGAGAAATTAGCATCCATCAAGCACTGGAGCGGTGGGTTTTACTGGACTTAAGTGTTTGTTTTTTCTGGCATAGCTACATTTTTGTTATCCCAGCATTTAACACAAGACATGGTGACAGCACACTCAATTTTTTTTTAATCTTATTTTTATGCCACCACCAACGCAGAGGATGATAGACAGTGCTCATTTTCACCTGAGATAAGTGAGGAAAGTCGTGTAAAGTGCCTTTCTCAAGTGCATAAAATTGGTTGCATGGCTCTCCTGGATTCAAACTTGGGACCTATTGGTTCGGAGCCGAGTGCTCTGCCGTTACGCCACCCAAGCCCACACATCCTATTAGGTTTTTAGTGATCTAATCAGAGCAGCTCTTAGGATGACCATGTTCAGCACATTGTTTTCCCTTGGGAAGACCTCTGGCAAAGGTGAAGCAAAAAATAGAGGCAGTACCAAGGCCAGAGTAGTTATACAAACACTGTGCACACATGAACCTCTGACCCCACAGATAAGTGCAATGAATCTACAAACCTCCTACACCAAGACTGGAATAACTGTCAAGGTTACCCAAGAACAGGTCATTGACCTGAGTGTGCACTTTTGGCAAAGCAAATAGATTGGAACTGAGTCACGACAGCCACATGCACATGACATTGTCTGAAAGTGTACATCTGTTTCAGCTAAGATGTAGGCCTGTAGTTAACATTTTCTGTGAGAGTGGTAACTTGTCCTTAGTCATTATTTCTAGTACAGAAGTATTGTTTTGGCTGGCTGAGTTGTGGGTTTGTCTGTCCTACCAGTAATTGCATGGCGGTCTGTCTTACGTAGAGCGTAGACAGACCGCTCTAATTCAACATAGAGCGTAATTGGCACATTTTGCGTAGAGCGTAATTCGCCGTTGTAATTCTATGTAATACGTTGTAACTACCCAAAATTTATTGTAAAGCATAATGGGGAGGCTTCTTGAATTCAGCGTAATGCGTAACCCTACTCTCAAAATTTAGCATAAAGCGTTGTCAGGACCCCCCCATGCAGGCCCAAAGGGATTCATGAAAACACTTCCTGGATGTTTGTGTACTTGAATCCGGGAAGTCTAAAATCTCTGATTTGTTCTGGTTGCCCTTTGCCATGGTATTAAAAAGTTGACTCCTCTTCTGGCACCCTGAGGACATGTCCATGTGCAGACACTGTAACTGCTGATGCTGCCATTCTGTGTAAGTGAGGTGATGGTGCAGGTGTAATCTGGTAGATCCATACATTACTCACGCAATCCAGGCACCTTCTGTTCAGCACTATTGTACAACAAGATGTGGCAGATCCATTTATCTGGCTTTCCAGGTTTCCGGAAAGATCACAGGAATCACATCAATGAAGGGGTTCTTTGAAGAGCCTATATTTTTGGTCAAAATGACTGTTTCTCTAATCTTCCTAAAAAGCATGCAGATTGTACTTGCACCATGAGGTCAAGAGTGCCATGTGCCATTATGAAATGCCACATCTCGAGCATGTTAGAGAAACAAGTTTAAAGACTGGAGATATACCTTGTTACTTCCTGTACGCAACTATTGTGGCTTGCAGCTGTGGGTAACTGTGTCTGTTATTTGTTGTAGATTGACTATACATGGGTCAGGAGGTAAGATTGACAGGCAGAATGACAGGAGATCAAAAGGACAGACACCAGAAATGGGGTGAACTTGAAGGTCAAGAAATCCCCAAAATACTTCCCGGAAATCTGAAATCTACTAGATTTCTTGTAGTGAATGTGATGTCCTAAAGCACAATCTGTACTTACCAACTCTAGGTATAGGGCTGTTATATTGTGCTCTTCTTTTATACCTGCTAAAAAATATATTCAATCTGTCCTAGTGGAAAACCTTTTAAAGAAAGTCATGACTTGTTCATCTGTTGACATTTATTCCCTTCACATTTCTGACAGATTCGGATTACCGGGCAGTTGCACAGGCGCTCGACAACCGCACCCTGATTGGTCTAGCCAGGTCACATGATCCAGACTCCAGAATTTTTCTTACCACCCCCTCTCCACCCAAAACAGGTGTAAGTTGGTCACAAATATTGTTGCTTTGTAGTCTGTTACCCCTATTTAAATCTTTAGGAATAAAGCCAATTTAAGAATTAAACAGTAACAGTAAGTGTCTACCTTGGTTGTCATTACTTTTCATTAATACTCAATGTGGTAAGAGTAAGATACAAGAACGTGTTGAATTCAATGTACAGGACTGGAACATTTTTACTTGAAACATTTATCTTAGTCGGCTATATTGAATGTACTGATTACCATCCCATTGCAGAAGGTGAGATTTGGTAGAGTGCGTGTGTATATACTGGGGGATTTCAGCTCTTCCACTTTAGAATTTATGGTTATGGCATGGCGCTGGGATTCATCTAGGCACATTACAGTGCGTAGGTCCTGCAGTGTTAAATCTTATTGTGAAACACTCAGGTTTTTTTTTTGTTGGCGCAGAATTGGGGCATAAGTTAATCTGATGGTGTCATGTCTTCAAAGGTTGGCTCACAAAATGACGCCATGGGGAGTATAAATTGCATTTTTTAAAACTTAGGCCATGTTGATTTCATTAAATGGATGACATCCTTTGGGAACTCCAAAGCTGATGCAAGCG